TTCATTGTTGCACTTTTCTCCCTGCCCACCCCTCCCCTCCAGTTCACTGTTCTCTTTGAAAAGAAAAAAATTCCTTCATTGGTAGACAATCCCCCTGTTCCCCACCCTCCTGACCCCCCCACCCCGAGTATACTCCACTATGCAGCCTTCATTCTGCAATGTTTCATTTTATTTCCTGGTGGATGCTTCCATGGATGTTAATTTTAGAACCAAATTGAAATGAAATCTGAAAGTATGAATCTTTGAAAATATGTTTATTGGTCCAGTTGTGAGAATTTTTGGTTTTATGTTGAGTTGCTTTGCTTTATATTGAGTATAATTATATATAAAATATTGTATTTATAAACTTGGCATTGTATCATAAGTAATTATTTTCCTTGTAATAGAAATGTTGTTAATGGCTGCCTAATATACTTAAAAGCCTTGGGTGTGGTGGCTAAGCCCTCAGCGTCTAGCTGAAAGGTTGATGATCTGAACTCAGCAGCCGCTTCAAGGGAAAAAGGCACAAATGACAAGGTGCTTCTGCAGAGATACATGGTTTTGAAACGTTGTGGGAGGTCTGTCTATAGGGCCTCAATGAGTCAGAATTGGTTCATCAACAACAGGTTTGATTCCACCCCCCCTTATTATTTTGCACGTATTTACCATTATTAGCCATTTTGCTTATTATTGAGCATTCACATATTCTCAGAGTTTTACTTTTCATTTTAAGTTATGTTTAGTTCTTTCTGCTTTAACTTCGGCTACTAAAATGTTGGACTAAAAGCACACTAGGTCACTGCAGAGCCTTTTCCATGAAGGTTAGTTCTGATATCCAGTTTTCTCCTCTCTTAGATCCTAGAGTCTCTGTGGATTGTGATGAGCCGAAACTTGAGCCTCCTTTTCACCACTGTCACTATGCTCCTGACCATTCTCTTCTACAGCGGGACGGCTCTTCTCAACTTTGTGCTGTCTCTGGTATGTACGTATAGATAAGTACTCATTGCGTTTCCTTCAGTATTAAGCATGTTCTTGATTGCATTTGCTTTTACAGAAGTTTATCTCCTTGTTGTTTCCAAATTTTTAAACCATGCAGTGTTCCCCTGCTCTATTCGCATAACAGCCTCCTTGTCCAGGTAATTAAGAAGGGAGGTATCAGGGTTGTATTCGTTCTCTATATGCCTGTTTACTCTGTCTGCTGAGCAACTTATTTGAGAAGTTGGACTCTATGAAGAGGAATGTGGCATCAGGATTGGAGGGAGACTCATCAATAACCTGCGTTATGCAGATGATACAACCTTACTTGCTGAAATTGAAATTCACTTTCTGCAAGCAAGGTTGTATCATGATGGATGGAAAGGAAATTGAAACTGTGAGCAGCTTCATCTTGCTTGGATCCACAGTTAACACCCTTGGTACCAACAGTCAGGAAATGGGGAGATGCATTGCAGTTAGGGATTTCTCATTATTGAGGAGTAATGATGTCAGATTGAGGACTAACGTGTGCCTGATTCAGGCCATAGTCTTTGCAATCATTTACTATCCATTTGAGAGCTGGATAATGAATAAAGACAGAAGAATTGATACCTTTGAGCTGTGGTGTTAGAGAAGAGCAATGAACATCTCATGGATGGCTAAAAGAACAAACAAATGTATTTTGGAGAGGGTGCAGCCTGAGTGCTCTTTGGAGGCAAGAATGATGAGGCTTTGCCTCACATACTTTGGGCATGTTGCTAAGAAGGGCTATTCCTTGGAGAAGGACATGATGCTACGAAGAGTAGAGGATCAGTAAAAGAGAGGAAGATCCTGAACCAGGTGAATTTACATGGTGGCTGCCGCAGTGGGCTCTTGTGTGTCAGGAAGTGTGAGGATGGCACAGGATAGAACAGGGTTCAGATCTTTTGTTTGTAGGGTCACTATGAGTCATACTCAACTCGACACCTAACAAGTTCCCAGATGTGATCATTTAAGAATAATCTTTTGTCCTTTGTTTTGCAGATCATTTTCCTGACCACCCTATTTTATCTATTAAGTTCCAGTGATGAGTATTATAAGCCAGTGAAGTGGGTGATAAGCCTGACACCATTATCTCAGCCAGGTCCTTCTTCTAATATTATTGGCCAGTCTGTGGAAGAAGCTATCAGGTAGGATGACATTTATCCAACTCTTCTTTCCTTCAGAAACAACTTTATCTAAACTAATGAACAACTTTATCTAAACTAATAAAAACACATGGATTTTCAAGATTGTTATTTATTTGAGAAGATAATATGGGTACTGCAAATGTTAGTAAAATCATTCAAAGCAGTTTTAAATCTTCCTCTCAAGCCTGTCATTCACAGATTTTATGTTTTATCCCATCAGCTTTTCATGAACAGATTTTTGCTCCAGCTTTTATCACTTTTGAAGAGAACCTCCTTCTGCGATAGGTGGAGTTACATCTTTGCCCCTGGAGGAGAGCAGACAGCCTTCCTCCTTTCTTCTTGAGATGTAGTCTTGGATTATTTCTGACTCATAGGCTGTGTATCACAGGCTCTGTCAGAAACTTTTGTCATGCCTCTGGCAAAAATTTACTTCTGAATGAGATCTCTTCTTCAGCTTTTACTAATGATAAGCTTCCTAACTCACTGGCTGCTGCCTTCCTTTTCTGTCTCACCTTTGTGGCTTCTGGTAGAAGGGGACATTTTTTCAGGCTAAGCTTTCCTTTGTTCTTTCCCTAATCCTTGATCTCTCATTGCTGATAGCTCATTAACATGACTGTAGTACATTTTCAGTTCTTGGGAATAGCTGCTTTCAAACAAAATCTTCAAGTAATTTACTAGAGCATCTTTTCTAGTATGGTATTAACCAGAAGATCGTAAGGATCTCTTCACAAGTAAATCTTTGACTGGTCTTTCTATTCCAATAGACAATTAAAACAGTGTCATTGTTAGGAACTAGTCTTCCACAGAAATCTTGATTTGAACTGATAGACCTGTAACTGTTGGTATTTTTTCACTGTAAACAACTCATAAGGATTCTCCTTTGATCTCTGGAGAGGCCTCAGTTTCATTCAAATAGAAATGCATATTCCTAAAATTTCTTGTGTCTGAAATTTTTCTAGATTTCCTGCCTTTTTCCTACCAGTGGTTTCTTCACAAATAATCCTTTTTTGATTTGACATTAAGAAGTGTTCTTATTCCTAGTTCCAGTGGTATTCTTGCATATGTGGGGAAGGCCATTCATGAAAAGATTCCAAGTTTTGGAGGAGTGTCATCTAATATTGTACACAGAGTCTATTTTGGAGAGGGTGAAACCAAATTTCTCCTTGGAGTCTAGGCGTTTGAAGCTCCATCTCACATACTTTGGGCATGTGGTTAGGAGGAACAAGACCTTGCAGAAGGACAACATGCATGGAAAGGTGGAAGGACAGTACAAGAGAGGAAGACCCCTGATGAGATGGATTGATACAGTAACTGGGGCAATGGGGGTAGGTGTGTCAGAGTCAGTGAGACTGGCTCAGGATAGGGCCGGGTTCAGAGCTGCTGTTCATAGGGTTGCTATGCATCGCAGGCAACTCAACAGCACATAACAACAACAGCAACATCTAATAAAACAGCTTTCTTTGGTAAAGTGCATTCAGGGACATTCTGGCCAATCTTATTGGCTTTTATATCCCTTCTGAGCATACATATATGGCTGTAGATTACCATGCTTACTGAAAGAATGAAATGATGGGAATTTCAGCACTAGATTAATTTACTTACTGAAATAACACAGTTCACAGAAAAGTTCATCCTAATACCACCAGAAAGGAAAAGTAAACATCTACCTTCCCAGTAGGATGAAAATGTTAAAGCAGCCATTATCGGAGGTTCTTCACAGTGTGACTAAGTGAAACACTACTGAAAAGTGTCTACCTTGTCCATAAAGGACTTCAACAAAGATGATACTTCATTTTAAGAAGTTACCTATATTAGCGCTGACTGGATTCTCAAAAATGTTTTTTCTGTTTTAGAAACCACAGTTCTCTAGTGTTCTTGTATTCTTCTTAGAATGAATCACTTTTGACCGTCCTCTATTGAAGTGACTGTGATGAAGTCATCGTTTTTTCCTCCCCTCCTTAGTTTTTGATAAGGAGCTCTGGCTATGTACTGTCCATCAGCAGTGTGAATCCACCAGTGTCTCATCAAGTGAAAGGTGGACAGTCTCCTCTGAAGGTTTAGAGCCTTGGACACCCCAGGAGGGTCTCCATTAGTGAAGCTGGTTCAGTGGCAGAGAATTTTTGTTTTAGTGGTGTGTTTCCTAGGAGAGCTGTGATTCACACCTGGGTCCAGCTGATTCCATACACAAGTCCTTCTATTAGAACACAATGCCTTTTTTCCAGGATAACCTGCTTAGGTGAGGTCATTGAGTCAAATTTTGGTGCTGCTAAAACCATTCAAATGGACACCCAAATCTGACAGCTGGAAATTTACATCTTAGATTTAGAAAGTAATTTGATATTAGAGCGAGTACTATGATACATGTCCTTTTTTTACAGTTTGAATTTTCCTTATTTTGGAATTTCAGCCATTAAAGATGTACTAATAGCAGAACCTTGTGTTGTTTTTAACAACCCTTAGTACTAGAACAATAATCCTAATAGTTCTCTACATAGATGCAATTTTTTTTGAGACTGTTAATGTGGTACAGTCTAGAGAATTTTCTATGGCTTAGGCAATTTTTTAAACAACAGACAAATCCATTGATATGAATTAAAGATTATCATTTAAGGTGATTTTTTTAGCAGTCTGAGTATTTTTGCTCTATTTCTTTACAGAGTCAAATTAAAGACCTAAATAAAAATATGCACGTTTCACATAGATTACTCTGAAGAGCCTCTATATATAATAATACTGGGCAACCTTTCTGGCATTATGTCCATTCTAACTCAAAGTTACTCTTCACCAGGTATCTGAGGCTGTCAATCTTTATAGTAAGAGATTGCCTGTCTTTCTTCTGGGGAATAGCTGATGGACTAGCGTCCTGTAATGGTAGCATCATGTTACAAAACATGTAATGTACTATACCACCAGAGCTCCTTATGTATACATATATCCAGATATATGTATGTGTATGGATAGCTCTGTGTGTGGACATATATATTTATATATATGTATGTGTGTGTATATATCTGAGTGTATATAAATGATAGCAATGACTTCTGGTTCTTGAAAATTTTTCATCCTAAAGGCTTGTTTTCAAAAAAGAATGTGTCTTCATGAAGTTTTTTAAGAGGAAAAAAGATATAAATTATTATGAGAATATTGTAATGTACTCAATTTAATCTATAAATTATTGATAATAGATTTTAAAATATTAATCCTTGTTGTAATTAAGTGGAAAATCATTGCACTCATTTTATATGTTTCATTAGTAAATGAAAGAGTAACTGAAATTAAAAATTAATAGCATGACCAGATCTTGAAATTGTCTTTCTTCATACTTTGTCTTCTGAAATATGTGGTTATTTTATAATCATGATCTCCTTGAATTGTTGAAACTTCAGTATTATTCCCGATTGTGAGTAAGTGCTCTTCTCAATTGAATGCGTTCGCGATCGGGTTTTCCGTTTATGAATTTTGAGTTGATGGCATGCATCCTTTTATCCCGAAACCATTTTCCTCCCCTTAGCAGCATGCTGTCTCCTGAATGTATGCATCGCACTCCTCTTCCTGACGCTCCCCTTCTGCTTGCTCTGGTGGAGATATTGCACATTACTAAGTTGCACGTTGTCACGGCCGCAGTGCAGTTTAGTATGTGTGATATTTTCACATGAGTGCATGCACACGGGTATGGCTCTTGCTTGCTGGGATCACAGCTTTTGATGTTGAAGGGTGGGAGTTCCACTGATGAATTATTTGGGAGAATGTATGTACAATGAAGTTTTCCTTTAGATAGTGCCAAATCCTAACTGCTAGATCACCAGGGATGGATTTTCCTTTAGAAAATGAGCATTCTTCTCGCCTCATCCTTCAGTTTTGGAGAAATAAAAGTATTTTAAAAAATCATCAGTGATCATTTAGTGAACTGATATGTCCATTTTTTACTTTAACTGAAATATTCATTGAAAAGAAATGTTCATGGAGTTAATGTTCTTAACAATACTTGTTTAAATTGAAATATGTAAGAAAGGGCTTACAGCTGTAAAAAAACAGTTCTCTCTCTTGCTCCTTTTTTATTTTTTTGAAGGGAAGGGCTCCTTCTAGTAATGAAATATTAAGGCAGCATCTCTTATGCATATTTGGGAATATAAAATGAACTAGAATTCTTGAAAGGAATCAGGCCAGTAGTATAATGCATTTTTAACTTACCCAATTAAAGGTAGATCTAATAAGCCTAAACCTTTTAAAATTTACACAGAAAAGGACTTAAATTTTTTTTCTTATTCTTTCTCATTGTGATGATTTTAATTCTGACATATTTTGGGGATGTTGCAAGGAGGGACCAGTCCTTGGAGAGGGTGATGTTTGGGAGGGTGGAGGGATGGTGCAGGAGAGAGAGACCCTCAATGAGATGGATCGATTCAGTGATTGGGGTAATGGGAGTAGGTGTGTCAGAGACAGTGATGTTGGCACAGGATAGAGCAGAGTTTGGGGCTCTTGTACATAGGGTCACTATGAGTTGCAAGGGACTCTGGCACATAACACAGCTAGTCCATTTTAATAAGCTTATAGCTGCTTTTGAAATGCAAATGTTTATAATTTGCCTATGTAATTGTAACAGTCCATTTCATATAGATGAATGTGTTCATTTTGAGAGTAGTCCAATAGTAAACATCCATGATCATTAGCCCTTACCAAGAGCACAAATCTTCACAATATAAAAATGCTGAATTAATACCACTGCTTTTAGGGTTTCTCATGATCTGAGGTAATGTCACTGTTCTCTGTTTGACTCACTGTAGGTTCCAGTGGTGAGGTATGGTTTCTTTGTAAGTGACTTTCCTGCTGTATCCCTTAATAGTTCTTTGGATCTGCAGGTGCAGGATGACCATTCCCCTCACTGTGGAAATCCAGGTTCCTGGAGACTTTACTGTGGCTCTAGGTCTCTGGGGCAGATGAATTGAGGACGAGAGTGGAGTGTGACTTCCCAGGAGAGTTTGGGTCAGATCAGGGAGATG